CCTATGAAGCGGTATATAAGTCTAACTGCTATTGCTATTGCTATTGCTATTGCTATACATTGCTATACATATTCACAACAGTGGAAATTGTTGTATAATTTTTAAAGTAGGTATAGTGTAACTAGAGCAGATGCATAGATTAAGCATTAGTTTGGGGTCATTCTCTCACCTGCATCTTAAAATCCTATTCAGAATTTTGCTTTGTGGATGCTTGATTTAGGGCATATTAATCATGTCAGTGCCATTCCTATCACTGCAGCTTCTTTTGCAACATAAACTATTTCCACTGTCCAGGTAGTGTGAAGAGATCTAAAATAACATCTCAATAGGCATATAACAGCTCCACTGTTCCCGTATTCTCTTATAAAACCAAGAGGAGCTTATAATTCCTAAAAGAGAAAGTTTTTTCAAAATACCAGATAAAGTGACTGGACAGACAATGACAGTACACATCATTTTCCCCTGCAAAAGCACATCTCCATGTCAGGACTTGATTTACCAAAAAGTCAAAATGCTGCTATTTTTCTTCCATTTTGAATCCACAAATTAGAAATCACTGGGAGAAGAATTTCTTTGTTAATGTGTAGACTCCCAATCATTGTTAAGCTTTCTGCCAAGACTTCAGCAATTGTTCTTTTTTACTTATTAATTATATTTACCAAAGTTTAAGAAGATACATATAAAACTAATTAAAATTAGGTTAAATCCAATGCATTTCTTGTTGAAAATACTGTCCTTGTTATGTTATTCAAAGGGAAGTGCAACTCCCAGCCTACCCCCCCCCCCATGTGCTTGTACTCTAGATAACACATATAGAATGGGACTGTTCTACTTTACTCTTACCTCAACAATCTTATAAAGTAGTTTAGTGACTGGCCCAGATGTCCAGGTGGGTACTGGGATCGGCATTTTAGCCTTAATTTTTACATAACAGCCTCACCACTATGATAACGTTTAATAGCAGTCTGGTTTTAAAAATAATGTTTAACAGTATATTGCAGTCTAAGATGAAGAAATATTCTCTCTGGAGAACAAAAAGACAATGTATGAGTTGTGTAATAATTTGTAGTTATTTAGTTTGTACCAATAAATGGATAAAAGATGAAACACCTGTAGTCTAGTCAGCTGTAATCTTGAAAATCCTTTGTGAACTACTCAATTTATAACATAATTTTCCTCAACAATCATGCTGAAAAATTATTTGAGTGGATTACCTTTTTGAAATACACATACACACACAAATTTATATTATTATTTTTACAAATAACTTGTAAAACATTTATCATCCTCCTTCTCATAGTTTCCCCACAAAAACAACTGTGCGAGGTGAGTTGAACTAAAAGAATGTGACTGGCCCAAGATAACCCAAGATCATCACTGGCTTCCATTTAAACTTTAAAATAACATTGGAGTTATTTTATGTTTAATCAAGTATGTTTACAACAAACATTTCTCAAAATATTTTTTATAATAGGGTTCACAGAGATTCTTAAAATTATAGTTCAGAAGAGACAAAAGATGCATTTTAATAACTCCCTAGTTTGTTTTTGCTACATTTATTAATTATACTGTATTTTGTTAATCAAACTGCATGAAGTATTATTTCTGCTCTGCCTTCACTATGTACATAAAGAGATGCATTAGCTAACAGGTCACGGTTAGTTCAAATGAAATATTTTAAATTTCCCAAAACTATGAATCCCCTGGTGAAACTAAATATTGCACCTCTGTTACCTTGCTTTAATAGTAGGAGTGTAAAAAAATTCATAATTGTATTATAAAATGTATTATTTTTCCAGTAAAATAATATATCTTGAAAATATGCTATGGGAATGAGTTCTTTGGTTTCTGTGCTTGACTAAAGAACATCAGGACCTTACCAAAATTAAAGTGTTAATTAATCAGGAAGAACTAATATTGTATTAACATTTGGCTTCAGTACATTAGTTTCATATACATCAATTATTATATTATTGAAAAGATACACATTTTGGTCTTAATTCAAAGTAGATGATTCCTACTAACTGTTATTTCAGTGAGATCCAAATATATAGCTTTATTATCAAATGATAACCATGCTTCCTCTCACAATTATTTATCTCTGTGCAATAATGCCAATTGTATACAAATTTTGTAGACTTTCATACATAAAAATTAGACCTGTTTTATATATAATAAATGGCACGTAGTTTAATTTTGGATAGTAATTGGAAATAAACTACAATACTGTGTTTTATTTGTTATATAATATAGAATGATTTACCTACCATATTTTTCCGAGTATAAGATGCACCCTTTTTCCTCAAAAAAGAGGCTGAAAATCTAGGTGCGTCTTATACACTGAATACAGCATTTTTTGCCTCCTGAAGCCCCGTCCTGTCACCAAAATGGCCGTGCATACCCTTATGGAGACTTTCAGAGAACTCCTGGGAGCTGGGGAGGGCAGAAATGAGTGAAAAACAGGCTGTTTTTGCCCCCCAGCCCCCATCAGCACTCTATAAGCCTCCATAAGACTATGCATGCAATTCTTCTGACATAAAATGGGCCCGTTTTCACAAAAAAAACTGGCTGTTTTTTGCTCATTTTTGCCCCCCCCCTTCCCGAGCACTCTGCAAGCCCGCACAAGGCTATTCATGCCTCTTTTTTTTTTTTGAAAAAAAAACAAAACAGGGCCGTTTTCGTAAAAAACTGTCCATTTTGGGGAGGTTTGCAGAGTGCAAAAACTTTTTCCCTCCTCTTGGAAAGCTCTTTAACTGATTGATG